ACAAGAATTCAGAAAATACAACAAGATGGTCAATAGCATCCTCTTCACTGGCGGTAACAATTGTCCTAAATTAATATGTGTTTATTTTCTATCTAAACATTTATCTATTTAATTTTATCATTCCATTTAATTTTACTTTTAAAATAGTTTATCTGAGATTTTTAAACAATAATATGTTTATTAAAATATTACTTTTTATTCTCACCATTATAAATTTGAATAAAAAAGTTAACTTGCGCCTTAACGGTATTTTTTATTTAAATTATTCTGATTGACTCGAGAATTTTTCTGATGATGAGGATATAATTTTAAATTTCACAAAAATGATTTTTTCAATTCAGAAAATACAACAAACGCCTCAATAAATATTTTTTCAACAACTAAAGCGATTATTTCTGAAATACAAATTTTACCAATAAATTATACAGAAATTTATCAAAAATTATTAAATGAAATTTCAAGTGTTTGTATATCTGATATACAGTATGAGGAATTGTATTCGCATAAATCAAAGGCTGGTCTTGTTTCATGGTTTCTACCTTCGCTTCTTGGTGTCGGTATTAAGCAAATTGGATTAAACGAAATCCGTCATTGTCTCAATTTAAAAGAACAAAAAATAGATTTAATGGGAATTGTGAAAGAGGAATTTAAAGATGAGAATAAAACAATAATTAACAACAAAACTTTAGTCTACTTAGAAGAACAGATTGAAATATATTCTTCGGGTGAATTTGACAATGCATTATTTTGGCCTGAGGATATTACTAATGCTGAACAATTTTTAGATAAATATTTCCCTCAAGTTAGAAAATTATTCAAATTGAAATATAAAAAGATGGATATTGAAAATAAACCGTTAAATAATAATACTATTGATAAAGTACTTGTGGAACTTATATTGGTGTTTAATGAGATTAATGCTTCTTTTCGTAAATCAAATTCAAAATCAACAAGTGTTTCCCCATATTTTGGGTTTTATATTCATAATTGTTCTGACCCGAAAATCAAGGAGAAAATTAAAATTCAAAAACTATAATTTTATCAATATACTATTTTAAATTTAAAAAATGTAAGTCAAGTTTTTAAAGTTTTTTTTAATTTTTAAGAAATTTAAAATGTAAATAGTTGAACAAAGATGTTTTAAATCAATTTTTTATTTTCTTTAGGTACTACGTGCAAGGCATTCTTCAATTTATAGGCAACCAAAAACTGAAACAACTTGTTCACTGCTCTCCTTAAAATTATGCAATTATTTTTTTTTTTGAAATAAATAGTTAAAAGTTAATCCATTGAAAAATTTTTATAATTCCATACCTTTATTTCTACCAACGACTTAAATTCTTCGGTAAACAGCAAAGCATTTTCAAATTCTCTATAACATTCGTTTTTGAGTGAATCTTCTCTAACTGTAGAACAAATGAGCTCTTTTATATGAGAGTTGACTATGGTGAAGGCTTTTTCAACGTTCTAATGAAACTTTATTCATATTAAATATTTTGATAATAAACCTACGTTTAAGATGTAATTAATTAGGTTCACACAGTTATTACAGCTTGGCCCTGCACGATCTGTCCTTTGTTTCTTAATTTGCATTAATTTGAATAAAAGTTATATTTGAATATACATAACTTTTGGGGACAGGATTGATTGAAAATGGATTTTATAGTGTTTTTTTGCTCAAAAAATATTATTTGGAAAGAGATTTTCTAATAGAAGAATTTTGAGGAATCAAAAAATTATTTCCTTGCTGATAAAAGAAAAACTACTTCCTTGTACATATAAAAATAAAAATAAGCAAAATATCGAGTTGGAAATACAAAAAATATCTATTCTATCTAAACCAAATAAAATTTTCTCACTATACATCTAATTCTACGTGGTGTAAATTTAAAAAAACCCAAAAATAATTTTGATGAAGACGATGAATGAATAAATATAAGAAATGTAAACATATTTAAAAATAAGATCCAGCATATAAATGATGCTTGATTCAAGCAAATATTACATTATAATAAAATTTAAATATATTTTTTTAACTTCAATAATGAAGGTAAACTTAATTTTAATCAAGGAATTTGATTAAGAAAAAATTAAAATTTTAGTTGATGTCACTTCTTTTATTAATAATATGTACAAGCTTTATGGTGACTACGATCGAGGCACTGTGCGGCACAATTGGTTTTGGAAATTTGGTAAGTTAGTGAAAAGAGGATCCAGCTGCCTAGAATTTAAGGAGAGGGTAAAGATGCGCTTTAAAGGACAAAGATGCCTCGATAGCGAAAGTGTCTAGCATTGCCTTTCTACAGTCCGCAAGATCGGTGCCTGTCTGTTACTCACTCTCTTGCTTTTTTTAAACTACTATATTGGATTAAATAATAATTTATAAAGTACGATTAACAATTTATCCTAACAAGCAGGATTCGAAAAATGATTATATAATTATTAGGGATTGGATTTTTAGGTTGTAAAACCTTAAAATAGTACTAATAGTACCTAAATAAGTTACAAAATTGGTCAACATAAGGGCAAAAATTCCTATTATTTTCTATTTACCTTTATGAAATTTCATTATAAAAAACTGGTTACACCCTTAGGGTGTAACCTGTTTGTTGATTGCAAAAATGTGCTTGGTCTTCCCTATGGTTTTTTAATTCTGGAGACCTAAACCTCGATACACAGGCATCTTCAAAAATAGTGGTACCGTTCGACTCAGTTGAGGCTAATCGAATTGTAACTGTTTTGTATGGAATCTTTACCAAATACTATAATAATTTTCCTGATTTATTTAAATATTAAGCCAATACCAGCAAGAATCAACCTTACAGCTTTGGGATATGGAAGAGGTTTTGCACCACCAAAGCGTATTATAATTAATGCGATACCTCCTAAGCGGACAGCATTTGGCATTGAATTGGTTGAGGATAAAGCGCCACGGAGACGTACTGTGATTCCATTTAGTTTGAGTCCACGTTTTCCTATAAGTAAAGTAAGTGAATACTTAAAGTAGGGTAGCTCCCCGAGCCTTAGGGGTCGGAAGTGTCGGGGATCGGGGTTTGCCGGGGAGGGCATGTCGGGGTGTGGGGTCGGGGAAAAATATTTTACGGGAAAATTTGTCTGAAAATATTTTGTCAAAATGTATTTTGGGGATACAAATGTTCAAAAATTCCCAAAAAGTTCCATCTTTAAGTGTGTATGTTTTACCCGTTTGCTTCGGGGATCGGGGTTTGTCGGAGTAGAGCCTTCGGGGTTCGGGTCGGGGTTTTTGACAAAAAATCGTCGGGTACGGTGAGCTACCCTAACTTAAAGATTCCGCCCTTTTTTGTAATTTTTTAAAGTAAAAAAACAAGGAAAATGAATCTATGTATATAACTAAAAACACTATTATTGTAAGGCTCGAGATAGTTGAGCAAATAAATCTATATGTCTAAATTTTGCTTATTTGAGGCTGTTCGGAACGCTTTGTCAAGAGAAAATAGATGGGGAATTCCAGAGACTTCAGGAGGTTTTCCATTCAAAGTTGGCCAGCCATTCGTATTGGAATTTAGAGCTGGAGCGAAGGATGTAATAAATGTAATTTATTTTTAAAATTAGATTTTAAATGCCGTTTCTCTCCAAAATAGGGGGGAGTTTTTCTTATTTGAGGCTGTTATAGACTTGAAGTTTTTTTAATAAAAATTTTATTTCAGATATATGTCGACGAGAAATACTTTACCTACTTTGTACGATACAGCTTGAGTAAAATTACTCAATTGCATATTAGACAGGATATCATTGTAAGCTCTATTACTCTGTGCAAATAAAGGGAGAATTCGGATTAAATATTGAATATTTTGTGATATTAAAAATATTTTTCAATTGTATAATTAAATTTTTTGGAATAAAGCATAAATGTTGAGTTCACTTGTTCGTTTAATTTCGATAACTGGAATAGTTTAATCAAGAATAATATTTAACTCTTAGTTGATAACACTTTTGTTAATAATTTATGCGAGCTTTATGATTGAACAACTTTTCATTTATCTCCCCCCCCCCCCCCCCCATTTTCTTTTTCATCTAATTTGATCGGTATAACTTTTTTATGCTTGATCCAATCGAAATGAATCTTATATTATTCGAAGGCTCTTTTCGAATAGTTATCCTTTTCCCAAATGGATGGCTCAGGTCTGACGCTGATAAAAGTCACGACTATAAGTGCCTACATTTCGAATAGGCATTATCTTGACTGAGGAAAATGTGACGCTATTACCGAAGAAAATAAATTTTTAAACAATTTCTGATCAAAAAGAACTCAAAATATAGAGAATTTACAATAAATTAAAAAAATTTTTCTCTGTAAATATTAATAAAATGATAAACAAATAACTGAAACATGTGTGTCTTTAATCAAACAAAATATTCTCGTTATACCTCAATGTAAATGTGTAAATTTACAAAAAAAAAAGTTACTAAACGTCATTTTCTTTTCGAATAGTTTTGTTGAAGCTTATAAATGAACATTAAAAATATAAACAATTTTAATGATAAAATCCAAAATATGTATAAAATCAAGCAAATATTACATTATAATTTAAATATATTTTTATTAACTTCAATGAAGATTAAAACATTTATTTTGTTAATAATATGTGCGAGCTTTATGGTAACAACAATCGAGACGGCAAAATGCAACCGCAAAGATACAACAGAGGAACCAACTCCGATAACAGAAGAACCGGCGACGACACCTACTCCAAGCTGTCCCTATCCTAATGTTATAGCATATCCGGTAGACAATTATTATTTAACATCGTCTTCTCTTAATTAGTCTTTTAAAAAGGGCTCTTAATAAGTAGCCTCTTAGAAACTAGGCAAACAATAAAAAATTAAAAATATTAAATTTTGTTCTACCATAAGTTTTATCTAAATTTTTATGAATATTTCCATTAATATTGTGTAAAAAAGTAGAAGGAACGAAGTCTATACCATCTTTCTTCGTTGAGATCTCAAAAATCAACGGGAAAATGGGAGTAAATTAATTCAAAAAATCTCTAATTATCTTAGAGTTCCTTATAATTATTTAATAGAATGTACCAGCAACAATAGATCTTTTGAAGCAAGGATTTGGAAACGGTTTTGAACCACCGAAGCGTATTATAATTATTGGTGCGCCTACTAATACGACTGACCGTTTTATCATTAATTTAAATGATGATGGGATGCCAGGGAAAACTGCAAAGACACTGTTTCACTTCAATCCACGTTTTAATGAAGAGCAGGTGAGTAGTGAATAACTCAAGAAATCTTAATTTAAATTTAATCCTTCCGTCTTCCCAGGTTACTAAAAGCGGAAGGCAGACTATTTGCCTTCTTCTAGATGGCGGAAGAGGGAAAGAGGATTAAGCTCAAAAGAGCTTAATTCTGCGGAAGGCGGAAGATGTCCATTCCTGTTATTTAAGGTAGTTCGCAATACGTGGTCACCAATCACAGGATGGGGAAAGGAAGAACGTTATGGAGGATTTCCTTTCAAAATTGGAGAACCGTTTATTCTGGAGTTTGTTGCTGCACCAAATAATTCTATAATTGTAATTAATTTTTGTGAAATCCAGGATATATTATATTTTAGGTCAATGTTGATTACGAACCATTTGTGACATTTTCACGGGATGATTTGAGTAAATTGAGCGTATTGGAGATTACGTTGGCAATTAGGCTTTTCTCTGTGACTTTATGTCTTGATAACCCATTACCCACTACAACAGAGGAACCATCAACTACACTTCTAGCAACCACAACCCAGACAAAGCCTCCTCCAGTCTGTCGAGGAAAAATTGTTTTAAACAATTTGGTTAGAATAAAATCACTTAAAAATCTTTCAAAACTTTAAGAAAATACCGGCAATAGTCGACTTCAGAAAGCTCGGATTTGGAAGAGGCTTTGCACCAACTAAGCGCATTATAATTTTTGGAACGCCTTTAGCAAAACCTGAAAGTTTTAGCATTAACATTGGTGCACTTGGGAAATTGCTGGTAAATGCTGATGTGTTATTCCACTTTAGTCCACGTTTTGATGAAAAACAGGTAGACTGTTAAAGGAAAGTTTTTTTCCGCAGTCCGCAATTTTATTTTTTAAGTCCGCAGCTGCAATTGCGGACAGCCCTGTATGGGAGCCTTATTTTACCAGAAAATTCCAGGTTATACTCAACTCCTGGATTACAGGCAGAGGCTGGGAAAGAGAGGAGCGTCCTGAAGATTTTCCCTTTCAAGTTGGAGAACCATTCGTTTTAGAATTTATTGCTACAGAGGATTCAATAGATGTAATTTTTTAAAATAATTTGTTGAATGTTAATTTTTAGATCATTGTAAACAACAATTTCTTTATCAACTTTGCACGATATGATCTGAAGTATGTAAGTCAAATGGTGATTGAAGGTGGAATCCAAGTGAGATCTGTTATTCTTTGTAAATAAGGAGAAATGTGGAGATAATATAAAAATTGATAAAACTTAATATGACTTCTAAAAAATAAATATTGTCAATATTCTAAATTTTTATAAATTGTTTGCTCAAAAATATATTTTTAAAAATATATTTTTTTAATTTTTTCTACGGAAAAAAAATTTTCTATTTTTTTAATTTTTCCTCATACATAAAAAACTTGTAAATTTAAAATATTTTAGGCAAATATTACATTAATTTGTAAATTTCTTCATCCAATTCATTTATAAATTTTAGGTACCTTCAAAACATTTTTATTTTGAATTTAAAATATTCCCTCAACAAATAAACTTTTTTCTCAGCATACATTCGAAACAAAATTTTATGAGTACAAAATCCGGTGTATAAATATCAGATTTACCAAAATTTTATAAAAACTGCCTTGTTTTTTTACATTTGTTTTTAAAATCAAGAAAATAATTCAACCTTTCGGAAAACATAAAATAGGTAGTAATTGTGAGGGAACATTACCTTATTGCCTTATTGAAGAATACTCTATGTTCATAACTTTTTCTTTGATTATTACTTTTATTTTTATGTAGAGGTTAATCTTAATGCACAATTTGCTTACGACAAAAAACTAGAAAAACCTTTAAAAACTGAGGGAAAATGTCTATTCCATGGAAGTTAGGAAACCATTCCAAGCAACCTTTCAAATATCAATGATGACCATATTTAATTTCGATTACCTTTTACATGTGATTTTAAAGGGTACATCCCGATGTACCGCCGAGCTATAACCTTGTTTAAAATTGTCGAATCCGTGGCGCCCTGGTATGGTTCGATGCGTCTCGACCAGCTGAATCGAACTTTATCAGGGCGCCACGGATTCGACAATTTTGGACAAAGTTATCGTTCGGCGGTACACTGGCCTACTCCCGATTTTAAAACAGTTTAAATTTTCCACAATATTTTATTAAATAAATTAATTTAGTTTTTTTTTGAAGATTTAATTAAACTATTTTAATTTATTTAGCCTTTAATAAACATTTAAAAATTCTTTATAAAATGGAAGAAGGAGGATTATCAAATGTTGAAAAACTAAATAATGATTTAATTAATCTTCAAACAGATTTTAACGGTCTTTACCAATTATTAGTTCATGAGAAAACAAAGAATATTTTTCTTGAAAATGAATTGAAGGTAATGGATAAAGTTTGGGGGTTTTGTAGGGTTGAGCGGGATCAGGGCTGGGCGATTTCGCATTTTCGCGTTTCGCATCTTTCGCATATTTCACATTTTTTAGCGCGCAAAGTTTCGCATTCCGCATTTCGCTTTTTATTTTTAGATCGCGCCCAGCCCTGGTAGGGATCCTGGTAGGGGTCGGGCAGGATTATCCCGATTTTTTTGAATTCCAGATTTTTCTGATCCCGAGACCGAAAGATAAATCTCGATCCAGATTTCGTTCAATCCTGATCCCGAGCCGGGATCGAGGTCGTCATTCCAAAATCCTGATTTTATATTGGGATCCGATCCCGCTCAACTCTAATTTTTTGTTAATTATTTTTTAAAATAATTTTAGAATATTCAAAAAATAAATTCTAACAATGAAAATAAAATTGAAGAAATGAAAATAAATTTTCAAAAATTTATTGAAGAAAAATTTGAGAAATTACAAGCTGAAAAGGATGCCTGTTTGAAACGAAAAGACGTTGAAATTAATTATTTGAAAGAAGAAATGAAGAAGGTAAAAATAAAAATATTTTAAAAATGGAATTTCTTAAAAAAATATTTTTTGTTAAATTTTAAATCTAAAACCTAAAAAATAAATAATTTGGTATTTTGTTCATATCTTTCCTCCTTTTACTACATGTAAGCGAGTGTTGGTGTGATATAAGTTTGGATGGATAAAAATTTTGAGGGATATTGGGGGGTTTGAATGAGTTAAGGAATTTAAGAAGATACGGGGAGATTACGGAGGATGTCATGGGAGTTGGGAGATATCAAAAGATTAGGAATCCCTCGATAACTTTCTAACTTTCGACAATCCTACCTCCATCCCCTCTTATAGGGTGGTGGGGGTAGTAATAGGAGGTTATATCCTCACAGTTATTTGAGAGGAGAGGATATGGAAGGATATGAAATTAAAATTTTAATTTAAATAAAAAGGCGAATGAATTATTTAACAAGAAGAATAGTGATCTAGCGGTTAAATTGAACTATATGTACTGTAAATATGCGGTTAGTTTATAATTAAATTATGTAATCTCATTTAATTTACACACACCACTAATGGTAGAAATCTGGCTTCTTGGCCTTACAAATTAAGCCAATATAATGAATATCGAGGAATTAATGGTCCCCGACACTTATAAAGAAATCAAGTTTTAAACTAAGTTTTACATGTTTTAAGACGATTTTGAGAGGTATCGAGTGATTTGGAGGTTTCAAGAGAATACTGAGGGTTCGGAGAATAGGATTCAATGTCTATCTTTAATATACCTATGTATGTATCTTAAACAACTCCTCCCCCACTAAATGTTTTAAATGCTAGCCATTATATAAATTAATTTTCTTTTAGAATCTAAAAAAGGTTTCCTATCAATTTGGTTGTTGTATTATTTGCCAATCTCAATTGGATCATGAAAATGTTTATATTTTAAAAAATTGTAATCATGCCTACCATCAATATTGTATTACTCGTTGGATTACTGAAGGGGTGAGGAAGTTTATTTTTTTTAATTTTAATACCGACTGATTAAAAGACATTAAAATTATACCTCCATTTCTTTTTTTCTCCTTTAGAAATGTCAATCGAGAATTACGAAGTTGCCGAAACTCGGAACTGTCGGGAATTTTTCCAAAATTTCGGAAATCGAAAGAAAAAAACGTCCGAAATCGGAATTCCGATCGACCTATGCTCCTTTAAAACGTTAAAAGCAGATACTTAATAGTCGAAAAATAGATCTGCGCCCCCTTTTGAATTCTTTTGGAATCAAACTAAAATATATATGTATTTCAAGTCTTAAAATTTTTAGTCAGAAAATTGCCCTTGTTGTCGAATTCGTGCTACATTGAATGATATTAAACAATTTTTTGTCGAAAAAATAAGTGACAGTTTTGATGATTTTGGTGATGAATTTACTCAAAGTTCTTCAAGTAATATGACTAAAGCTGTGAGAAATTTAAGTAATAAATATAATGTCGGAAATATTAATTATGTGGTTAGGAATGTAGGTAAAAATTGTTGTATTTTATTTTTGTAAATACATATTTCAGGTAGTGAACATGTTGTAATTTATACAAAAAATTCATTCAAAAGACCACTTAATTGCTCCACTTATTCTTTATATTATTTTGAAATTAAATGTAAATTTGAACGAGAGTTAAAATGTACTGATAAATTGATGAATATTGGTCTCAAAAATTTTAATACAAGAAAATATATAAAGCTTCGAGCAAAGTATGCAAGTATTTATAACGAGAAAGATGAAGGATTTAAACTTGGCAATAATTCCTTCAGTAATAATGATATTCTTGGATGTGGAGTAGCTTATCCTCCTACTAACAAGATGTTTGAAGAATCTCCTTATGTTTTCTTTACACAAAATGGGAATCAAATTGGTAAATATTTAAGGTACTATGCGTTTATAAAAAAATTAAGAGATTCAAATAACTGGGGATTACCAGTACTTTTCGGTACTATTGTCTTGGAAAAATACATTTGTCGAACAATAGTTACAACTAATCGTTGTTGTTCACACTTATCGACTTGTAACTGTTTAATGAGTGATCAGACCTATCTTATAATATTCGATTGGGATCAAGCATAAGAAAGTTATAGTCGGTCAAATTTGGGAAAAGGAGCAAATGAAGAGCTGAGGGAGGATATAAACGCATAGTACCATACTTAATAAAAATTATCTTTAATAAATGCTGGCTCTTTTTAAAGGTAAAGGTGTAAAAATAAAGGACAATTCTGAGGAATATATTCCGTTTGGCCTTGTGAAATTTGGAATTGTGAAATTTTGTTCAGTTGAAGCAAACTTTGGAGATGATTTGGAGACTAAGCCGTTTAAATATGATATTTCGAAACATTTAGTTGTTAAAGAATTTTATTGAAAATTTGTTCTGATTAATTTTTGATTTACCGTAAATGATGAAATACTTAACTTTAGTTTTTCTACACTATGTTTAAAAAATAAAAAATTATTAGCAAATTTAATTATTGGAACATTTTTAAGTTTCATTATCTCTTTTGTAGTCTATTCTAATCAAATAAAATGTTTAAATTAGGATAGCAAGGAGTGTCGAGTATTGGGGTTTGTCGGGGTATTTCTTTGTTCGAGATGGGGTTTTTGCTAAAAGAATCGTGAGGTTCAAGTTTAATTTTTTTATTTTTTTTTTCAATTTAAGGCTGAGGTTCAGATCAGGGCTTGCCTAAAAAATCATCGGGGTTTTGGGGGTCAGTTTCTTGCCATAGTTTTAACAAATAAGAATCTAATTACATTTTTATCCATAATCATGTGGATATTCACTGTTCCTAGACTCTCACTCTTTCGAAATTTTTATTAAAAAAATTAGAGGTTGATATCAGTTTTGAATGCAATGTTTTCTAAATAACAATTATCTATTAAAAAAAATTTTTGATAACTTTATCTACGTTTTAAATGATTAAAATTGACAAATCAATGCTTATTTATTTATATTTATTTTTGTATTTGTTGGAATTGTGTATTTGAAACGTTGCTTAAAAGTTTTTTTGAATTAAAAAACAAATAATAAAAATGTAAACAATCCTTTAATAAAATCAACCACATAAATGACGATTTCACCCAGTTAACTTTACCAAAATAATAAAATTAAAATTAAATGTCAGCTTCAATAATGAAGATAGAACATACATAATTTTAACTTAATATCAAGGAAAAATTCAAATTTTTAGTTGATAACACTTCTTTTATTTAAAATATGTGGGGTCTTTATGGCAGTTACAACGGATGATCCAATTGTGTTTAATAATTTGGCTATCCCTTCAATTATCGACCTTGTAAGTGTTGGATTTGGAAAAGGACTTTTTATGCAAGATCGGATTGTGTTTAATGGAACGATTTCTAAAAATCCAGATTATTTTACTATTGTTTTGGCTGAGGATGGTGTGAATGACGTTAGCGTTCAACTTGACTTCACTGGATGCTTTCAATCCTACCTGGTATTATAACTGGATATATTACTTGACTTACCTATATGTTGAGATAATTGCCCTCTCTAACATAATTACCCTCCCCCTATTAATTACCCCCAGAAAAATTATATAAAAATTTATTTAAGGTTTATCGTAACAATTGGATAAAGGATAGAGGATGGGGTATTGAGGATGTTTTTGGCGGGTTTCCATTTAAAGCTGGAGAGACATTCATTTTGGAATTTCTTGTTTTGCCCAGAGATGTAATATCCGTAAGTGATTAATTATTTAATTTATAGTAAATCAGAGCTTATTTTACTTTAGATTTATTTTTTGTAGATCTATGTCAATAATAGATTCTTTACATACTTCCGTAGACTTGATTTGAGCAAAATTAGTCAATTATATATTACTGATGAGCAAGCCACATTGAAGATTAACTCTTTGATTTTGTATCCAAATGCTTTGAAGCCAACAATTGCAACAACAGAGGCACCAACAACGGCTCCACATTGTCACAAACCTATTGTCTTAAAGAACGTGGTTAGTAGGGTTGTCGGGTCTGGAAATCTCCAAATATCCGTCACCGGAACTCAAATTTTTATCAAATTAGTGAAGATTTTCTGATGACAGTTAGGGTATCTGAAATAATTTATGAGGAGGTTCCGGATACCGGATCTAACAACCAATACTGTTTTTAATAAAATAAAGTAGCTAAATAGCAGGGATAATCCCGACAAAAAATTCTCGATTTCGGAAATCGGGACGGCAGAATCTCTGCTATATAGTCAGTCGTCAGGGTATTTTTAAAATTTTTAAATTAATTTCAATCATCAATATTCAACAAAGAATTGATTAATATCCGACCTAAACTGAGAAAATATTTTTAAAAAATATTTATTTACATATGTAATAATAATCTTAAAACTTAAGCCAGTACCATCAACTATCGATCTTGTAAAAAATGGATTTGGCAAAGGATTTAAACCAAATACTCATATAATATTTAAAGGAGTGCCTCTTCAAGGGGCCAATCTATTTACAATTAATTTTGTTGAGGATGGCGTAATGTTCAAAACTGCTAACGCACCATTCTGCTTTAATCCACGTTTGCAATCTGGCGTGGTACTATCCCCCCTATTTCTCAAATTAAAAAAACTAATTTGAGGTAGTTACGAACAGTTGGACAGTAAAAAGTGGTTGGGATGTTGACCATATTTATGGTAATCCCTTTAGAGTTGGAGAACCTTTCATTTTGGAATTCAGATTCGAGCAATATTTACAGAGAGATTCGATATCTGTAGTTTACTTTCTTGGTCTTATCATTTTTAATTCGAATCCTTCTAGATCTATGTCAATAATAAATTTCTTGCAACCTACTCTTATTTCGGTTTGAAGGGTTATCACGATTTGAAGAATGTTAGTCATCTATATATTAATGGATTTCGATTAGACTCTTTGATTTTGTGCCCAAATGAATATTTATCAACTACAACGGGAGAACCAACCTACGCAATTGAAGATTAAAAAGAGATTAAAGAAGTTTTATCTGTTATTAAGAGACATATGATTCAAAATTATTATTATCGAAAAATATTATTGGAATGAAAAGTATATAAAATTCTTATGTTATTTAATAGTGTAGAACAAACAAGAAATTTGTAAGAGGGCAAGTTGCTCTCATTGTCGGGAGTAAAGGATATATGTAGATCGGACGCAGTGGGGGAATATAGGAGAGCTCTTCCCTAATAAGAGAGCTCTTCTCTCTATTGTATATATTTTTCTCGTGATAAGGCACAATTTGTCAGTCACTGTCTTATCTCGTTTATTATTGTTAATAGGAATCGAAGTCTAGTACACAATAGAGTTGGCCGGTATCGGGATTTATAGAAAAACCCGGGATCAGGATTTTGGAATGGTGATCCCGATCCCGGATCCCGACACGGGATCGGGATTGGCCGAAATCGGATCGGGATTCAAAAAACCCGGGATAATCCCGCGCGATCACGACTGGGATCCCGATCCCGGCCAACTCTAGTACACAACAGTTAATAACAAACTCGAATGTTTGAAACAATAATTAAGCAGCATTTTTATTTTTAAGTGTAATACATACATATAAAATTATGGGGTTTATGAAATACTTTGCCTTGTTTTTCGTAAATATTTTTCAACAATTAAAATTTTTTGAAAATTTAAAGTAATAAAAATGTATGAGGGTTAGAAAATGGACAACAAAATTTACTTAAGAAAAAAATGTTCTTTGCACATAGATACATTCCTGGTATAGAACTAAAAAAATGTTTATTTGTTGATTATACACCTAACTTTATGCTTAACAAAAAGTTAAAAAAGTTTCGATAGCAACGTTTACATGGTTGGATAGTGACAAATTTTTATTCTTGTATTTGTTAAAATCAAACGTTTTAAACGTTGTTTTTGAATTAAAAAATAACCGAATAAAAATATCAACAATTTTTTATCAAGAAAATCAAGCATATAAAGTGTCTACTTCAACCATTACACTTAACAAAATAATAAAATTTAAATATAATGTCAGCTTCATTAACGAAGGTATTCTTGATTTTTAATTTAATATCAAGCAAAAATAAATTTCAGGTTTTAGTTCTTATTTTGTTAAAAATATGTGCCGTTCTGACAAAGAACGATCCAATAGTTTTTAATTATTTGTCACTCCCTGCAACTATAGATCTTGTAAAAGCCGGATTTGGAAAAGGATTTTATGTGAAGGATATTATTGCATTTAATGGGACGATTCTTGGAAAGCCAGACCAATTTACAATTAATTTGTTTGAGGAGGGTATTATGCTGAAAACTGCTAGCGTTCAACTCCACTTTAATCCATGCTTCAAATCCGAGCTGGTAGTAATTTCATACCCATATTTAAATAATAGTGAAGAGAGAGGTGGAATTTAGACGGGGCAGCAGATGGAAGGGCAGCAGAGTTGTGCCGTAACAGATTTTAAAAGGCGAAGACTAAAGGTTAAACTCAGAAGGCTCAAACAGCCTATTGAGAGGGTTGATTAAGGGGGGGGGGAACTTCGAATCTCAATCAGCCTATACAGGGGGTTTATTATGGGGAGGAAATAATTAATCAAATTACCTCTCAACTAACTCCTAATATACTCAATCAACCTATCTAGTCCCTGGCGCTAACTCTACCTTCTCGTAATCTTAATCGAGTTTCCTTCTTCCCATTATAAAACTTTTATAATTACGGGTATATAGTAATATTATAAAATTATTTAAGGTTGTTCGTAACGCATGGATAATAAACAAAGGATGGTGCCATGAAAATATTTCTGGTGGTTTTCCATTTAAAGCTGGAGAAGCATTCCTTATGGAATTTGTTGCATTGCCCAACAATATAATACAGGTATGAAATTATTCAAATTTTATTTTAAATTTTATTTTTTATAGATCCGTGTCAATGGTAAAATTTTTACAAACTTCCATAGTCCGGATTTGAGTAAAATTACTCAACTTTATATTTCTGGCAAAGACACACTTCAAATTCTCTCTTTGACTTTGTATCCAAATGATTTGAAGCCAACAATTCAACCAAAGGCACCAGCAACGCCTCCTCCAATTTGCCCCAACCCTATCGTCTTAAACAACGTGGTTAGAAGATTTTTACTTTATACTATTTTGCTTAATTCAAGTACTTATTTAATTTCCCTCTCCCTCCATTTTTTCATTAATGTATAAAATGGTCATTTCTTTGCGAAATTACGTGAAGAAGAAATGACTTACCATTTTGTACATTAATAAAGAATTTGGTGGGAGAGGGAAATAAGTACCTTTAAATCGAAAAATGTTTACGTCTTAAGGATATTCTTTTCCTTAAGACATGGAAAAGAATATCCAGGATATTCTTTTACAGATTTAAATCAACATCAAACATAAATATTCAACAAAGAATGTTGAATTTAAAAATATTTTTAAAAAATTTATAACAAGAAATTTTAAAATTTAAGCCATTACCATCAAAAATCAAAACTATCAATCTTGTACAAATCGGATTTGGAAAAGGATTTGAAGCAAATAAACGTATAATATTTAAAGGAGTACCTCTTCAAGGGGCAAAACAAATAACAATTGATTTTGGCGAGGAGGATGGTCTAATGTTCGAAACTGCAAACGTTCCCATCCACTTTAATACGGACTTAATATCCAATGTGGTACTATTTCAACGTAGGTTGTACCCCGATGACTTAAGGGCGCGTTTGTCGGGGTTCTTAGGAGCATGAATGACACCAATGTTAGCGTATTCTATCAGTCATACTTCAGCGAACCCCGACAAACGCGCCCTTAAACCATCGAGGTACAACCCTATTTCAACATTTCTTTTTATGTTTTTTAAATTTAAAATAAATTTTGAGGTTCATATTAGTAGTTGGTCAGTAGACGGTGGATGGGATGCTGACCATCAGTACTATGATAATCCATTTAAAGTTGGAGAACCTTTCATTTTGGAATTTTTTGTCGAGTCAAAAAATTCAATTTTTGTAATTTCCTTTCAATTTTATTTTTAAATTTAATTTTCTCCTAGATTTATGTCAATAATGAATATTTTGCAACATTTTATTATTACAGTTTGAAGGGTTATCACGATTTTAAGAATGTCGGTGATCTATATTTTGAAGGGTTTCGATTAGACTCCTTGATTAAGTGCTCCAATGGATATGGATCAACTAAAAGAGAATCAACGAGTATACCAATAACAACATGGTTTCCAGCTGTATATTAAAGGGAATAAAGAAGATATGATTGTTATTAAGAGATTATGATTAAATTATTATTCATATAATTGTGAAATATTGTTGAGATTAAAAATATAATAAAATTACTATTTAATAGTATTAATCAAGTCTCGGAATTCTGCAAATTTTTGCTCATTTTGTGAATTTTTGATAAGTCGATGATTATTTTTAGAAAAAGTCTCGGAGTAACGAACATTTTTGTGGTATATTGAGATTATGAGGATTTTTTTATGTTTTCTCGTAGTTTTAGGAATAAAATGTCATTTTTTTCTTATGGCCTTCCAAAATCTATCGTATTATCTCTAATAGAATGGCTTTCTCCGTCTGAATGACCCTCTCTAATATTAGAAAAATAGAATGGCTGGCCTTTAAAAAAGTGTTACCTTCATTTCGCAGCTAAATTTGTTTGCCGAATGAAAATATTTTTCAAATAAATAAAAATTTGGAGAGTTTAACACAATAGTAACGAACATAGAAATCGGCTAATGCCAAATTGATGGAGCGCAGTAATAAGATTGACTGAATAAAATAACGACTAGCAGAGTACTGCTAACACTAACACACGAATGGGTCGGGTTTCGACTTTCGGGTCGAAAAAGGTTAGGGGGTCGAAAAAAAGGATATTGTGTTTCGGGTAACTCGTTCCATTCTACACGCACAATCCGTACCATTAGTTCCAAAATAACGGCTCCTATTATAATTTATAATTGTCTGCCTCGTTAACCAAATTTGTTTGTCAAATAAAAATATGTATTTTTCAAATAAAAAAATTTGAGGTTAAAATTAAAAAATATGAATAAATAAGGAAGTTAAAAGAGTGATAATAAAACGTGTTTAGGAAAAAATGTTCCTTGAACACAGATAACTTCCTGGTATAAAATTAGCAAAGAATGTTTCCTTGTCCATTGCAACAAAAATAATTTCTCAATAAGCATTTAACTTATGTTAAAATAAAAAGTTTAAATATTTAACTATGTTTAAATATTCGAAAAGTGACAAATCAAGCCTTGTATATTTATGTATCCATTAAAATTTTTAAATTAAAAAATAACTGATTAAAGACGTAAACAATTTTTTATTTAAAAATTATCCATATAAATAATGATTTCAATAAATTATTTTGACTAAATAATAAAATTAAATCATAATGGCAGCTTTATTAACAAAGGTAATATAATATTAACAAAGAATTGCATTTAATTAAGGAAAAATAATTTTAGGTGACAGCCCTTCTTTTGTTAAAAATTTATGGTGTCTATATGGCAATCTCGGATCTCGATCCAATTGTTTTTAAACATTTACTAGTCCCTGCAACTATAGATCTTGTAAAAGTCGGATTTGGGAAAGGATTTCATCAGCTAGATCGTATGGTATTTAATGGGACAATTCTTGAACAGCCAGACGAATTTTCAATTAATTTGCTTGAAGATGGGTTGTTTATGCTAAATGCTAACATTCAACTCCACTACAATGCACGCTTCCAATCCAAACTGGTATCAATTCAATATTCATACCTAAATAATAGAGGAGGTAAAATTAAGAACGGGGAGGTAGTTGCGCTTTCGCTCTACCAAATTAACTGCTTTCACCTTTGCTTGTAATAAATCTTAAAAACCCTCGTTTAGAGAGTGGTTTAACTGCTGCCCAGCATCCATTCTTCCTTACATAATTACAAATTTTATTTTTACTTTGCTGTTGCTCTTGGATTTTAAGGGATTTTATAATCTACACATTAGATAGTATTGTATTTAATGGTTGATTCTTAAGCCTTGCCGTTTTTGAAAAAGTGGGAGCCAGGCTAATGCTTAGTCTCCCTTTTTAATTACGCAATCGCAAATTTTTTGTCTACTTAATATGATACTCGAAAAATTATTTATTTGAGGTCGTTCGTAACATATGGAACAAGAACATAGGATGGGGTAATGAAGATATTTCAGGCAGTTTTCCATTTAAAGCTGGAGAAGCATTCATTTTGGAATTTTTAGCATTGCCAAAAGATGTAATACAGGTATTTATATTCAAATTATTTTATTAAAATTTAATTTTTTTATAGATCAGTGTCAATTATAAATTTTTTACATTCTTCCATAATTCAAATTTAAGTAAAATTACTCAACTATATATTACTGGGATAAGGGCACTTCGAATTAACTCCTTGACTTTGTATCCCAATGAGATGAAGCCAACAATTAAAACAGAGGCACCAGCAACGGCTTCTCCAATTTGCCCCAAACCTAACGTCTTAAACAACGTGGTTAGAGGAATTTTACTTGTAAAATAATTATCAAATTAAGCCAGTACCATCAACTATAGATCTTGTAAAAATCGGATTTGGAAGAGGATTTAAAGCAAAAACACGCCTGATATTTAAAGGAGTGTCAAATCTTTTAGATTTGAATATTTTTTAATTATTAACCTTTGGCCGAAATTTTTGTCCATATCTTTAAAATAGTTGCCCGCTCAAAAAAAAATGTTAATTATGGCGGGCCAAAAGGCCTTTTTTGAACCTTGCATCCCTGCTCTTTTTCTCCCCATTCTTTTAAATCTCTAGCCCGCTCAATTTAACTAGGAAAAGCTCCTTTGTATTTTTTGTGTATTTTGATCCTGTCTGAAAAATGTCCTTTCTCTTCCCTATCGTTCTATCTTTGCAACCCTTTGCACGGGTTATTTTGGCCAACTAATTTTGGATTAAAATGTGCAAACACCTCCTTCTTTTTGCACATATCAACCCGAATATATAAATGGAATTTTGAGCAGTTTGGCTCAGTTTCTGAACTATTCCTTCCCCTCGATTAAAGTTAAAGTTTTAAAGTAAAGTTTTTTGAACTACATTTTTCCTCCCCCTGAAGATTTGTTATTGAAGTTTTTTATCCGTTCCTTCCCCAGTCAGATTTGAAGTTTCTCCCCCTTTTGATTTTCCTGATATATGTTTGTTAAAAGATTTGGGCCCATTTTGAAAGGAGAATATTTACTTGTTAAATTGTTAATTTTGATAATTGGAAAATAAAAGTTGTTAAAGAATTTAGTTAATTTTTGGATTTATTTAATGTATTTTCCCTCCCCTTTTATTAAAATTCTGTTTAGAATTTTACAGCTCAGCCGGTGAAGATCCGAGATCTATTTCTAATCCACCCTTTTCATAAATATTTTTTTTTAAGTTTTGTTGTCCCGTTATTCATTAAAAGTTTATATTTTGTTTGATTTTAAAAGTCCAAATTATTTATTGCTTTTTAAATAAAAATGTCACTAGTTTATAGAAATCAATTGTCCCAGCTTTGTTCCATTACTAAAGAGATACTTCTCCCTAGCCCTTTCTCTCTCCTAATAGAAGATTATGATAATTTTAAAAATCAATCTCCCGAATCTACTCAGGCCCTAATTGATGAAATAGACCTTACCACCCAAGAGATCACCAAAATCCTTAATGATTTAAAAATGGCCCACGATTCATGGCAAAACTTAAGAATTTCAATGACAGAAACTGAAAGGGCAACCGACAGCCAAATCCTAGAGAAATTCCTTCAAGAAACAGATTATATAAAAATTATGTATGACCTTAAACGGTATCTGAGAAAGCTTCGGAATTCCCGACATGAAGTAGAAAGTAACTTACCTAAAACTAAACCTCAATTTGACCATTCACATCTCCTTCCTGAACTTCCTCTTTTAAACCCTTCCCAGAACAGACCTTTTAATGGAAATACTCAAGACTCGTTAAAACCAGTTTATACAAATACTAGTGATAAATCTTATCGAAACCGGACCCTCTCTAATTTTTGCTCGTATCCAAATCCTTCGATTACAGAAGAATCCGATGAGAAACTAGCTAATATTCCGACCCCCTCCATTAAAAGTTATATTAAAGACATGAATAAATTAGATCCAATCCCTATCCCTCCTGGCTTTTCCCCTCTAGAAGAAATAAATGTTGTAGAGAACCCTAAC